CAACTGCCTCCTCGCTGCTCCCTTTCCAAAAACCCAAAAAACCCCAAAACACTCAAAACCCCAAAACCCACCCATCCCCAAACCCAAATTCCCCCAAAACCCCACTGAAACTCAAACCCCCACCCCACAAAACCCACCCAAGTTCCTTTTCGGGTCTCCCACCCCCCCAAACCCCCAATACACCCCCCCAAAGACCACAGCCCTTAAAAAAGAAGCTAAGGTTTTGGTATAAAATTTCAGAGGGAATAACAAATAAGTAGGGGGATTTGGCAGAAAGAATAAGGGAGACATCCCCAAAACAAAATACACCCAAAAGAAACAAAACCACCAGAATAATAAAGATTCAATTTTTCCCATCTGGATATCAAATCCTCGGGAAAAGACGGGGGAGGAGAGGGGAAGAGGAGTTGCATTGCTCTTTTAAAAACCAGGGGGTTTTTTGAGAAAAGGAAAGGAAAGGGAGGGCACGGGCGAAAGAGCCCTACTTAAAAAGGAACAATATTTCCTGGGGACAAAAGGTAAAAATTTGGGGCAGTAATGAAACAACCCACCACAAACTGCGGGAGGCCAAGAGAAGAATACGAGAAGAAACAAGCAAGGGTTTGACACACAACCCCGGGGGTGGCCGGGAAAGGGGCACACTTGGGGGAGAAAAAATTTACTATTTTTGGGGGTTTGATTTCAATCACAAGGAGTTTGGGAGGGGAAAACCTGAGCCCCATGGGGGTCCCGAAACAGGGAGACCCAAGATGAAGGATTTTGGTACTTTTAAAACCTCATGAATCCCCCGGGGGGGGTTTTAAGAGCACACCAGAAGAGAGGAGGAGGGGATAAACCCAGCAAGACTGGACCTTGTATTCACCTTGAGTAGTTCGGACTTTCGAGGATATATTTTATAAAAGGCCCCCGGGGAGCTGTGTTTATGTGGTTTCGTGCTTCGACTACATATTTTGAGCTCCAAGGGGAGAGAGAAAGCAGGAAAAAGGGGGGGAAAAACCCCCCAAACTACAAAAGGGGGAACTACCCCGGCCCAAGAGAACTTCCTTCAAACTTTAGGGGAGGGGGAACCCTGACGGGGAAAAACCAAGCCAAAAATGATGGCTATGTGGCAACAAAATGCAAGGAGGAAGGAGAGGTTTTTTCCCAAGGGAAACAAAAATAATGGGAAGAACAGAACGAGCCCTTTGGGTTCACCCAAAGGGGGTTAGGAAAAAAAAAAAAAGTACTAGAGAAGGGAAAAGGGTCAGAAGACAGAGAATTTCGGGAAAAATAAAGAGATTAGCCGAAGAGCCAAAAAACAAATTATCACAGATAAGAAGGGAGGCTCAGCGACAATATAAAAAATGACATAGCAAAAAAAATAAAGAATTCCGAACTGTTGTACACCCACATCAGGAGGAAAACAACAGTCAAGGACCAGGTAATCAGACTGGGAAAAGGGTGAGGGGGAATTTTCACAAAAAAACGCCCGGAGGTATGTCAGGACCCCAACCGAGTTTTTAAAGAAGTTTTTAACAGGGGAAAACCACGGGACCCCCGGGAAAAAAAAAATTTCAGAACGGGGGGTGCACCAGCAAGTGTGGATAAAATTACATATCCCAAGGGGGAAAGGGAAGAAGCTCTATCGAACTTGACACCTAAAAGGGGCGGGGGGGACCAAAACAACATCTCTCCGGGGGTTCCTTAAAAAGGGGGAGAAAGGATATTGTGTGTACCATTAAAAAAGATTTTCCAACCATCATTTGAAACGGCCAACCCCCCCGGGGTAGGGGAAAATGGCAAATGAAGCCCCTTTTTTTAAAAAAAAGGAGACAGAAAAAGGGGCCCCCAAACTACAGCCCTGTATCAGAAACGTTTAAAAGTATCCCAAGGTCATGGAGAAAAACAACAGAGGAGATGGTGAGCACCTGGAAAAAAAACAAGTTTTATAATTGAAAACCCAGCAGGTTTCCCGGGAAAGGGAAAACCCTGTATCAAAAACCCTACTAGGTTTATGAAAAGGGTGAAAAGAAGTAAGACAAGAAAGAGAGGGGTGACCCGACGAAATTTTTTGGGACTGCAAGAAGGCCTTCAACACAGTTCCTCACAAGAGGTTACTGCAAAAGCTAGGGGACCCGGGCACACATAACGGGAAAAGGCACTGCAGTGGGGATCAAGAAAAACCCCGCCCGGGGGGCAACAACGAGTCAGGGGACTTGACGAGGTTCAGAAGGGCGCCTTTTTGACAAGGGGTTCCACAGGGGTCAGTCCTAGGGCCCTGCTGTTTTTTGGAAAAATGTGAAGACAAAAAAAGAAAGGGGTAATTTAGAAGTGTTTTTTTTTTTGCAGATGAAAGTGAAGTTTAAAGAGAAAATCAAAACGGATTTAGGATCAGGCAGGCTACAAAGAGACCTGGACAGGCTAAAAGCCCGGCCAGCAAAATGGCCCCTTGAGTTTTAACCCCCGCCAAAAGCAAAAATCATGAAGATTGGGAAAGGGGAAAAAAGAACCCCGGGCAACCCTTTTTGGGTTTGATGGCCCAAAAACGCAAACCCCCACTCAAGGGAAAAAAAAACTGGGGGTGAAAAAAATAACACCGAGCATATCCCCCGGGGCGCACCCTCAAACAGTAACTGCTGCCCCAAAACCGGGGGCCTGGGAAAACCAAAGGATAGCTTTTCCCATACCCAGGAAGGAATTCCTTAAGACTCTTATACCAATTTTCGCCCGGGGCCCCTACGGAGGGATGCAGGGGACCATTTTTTTAAAACCACAAACCCAGTCAACACGTCAAGAATTTTGAGAAAGGGCAAAGGTTTTCAAAAAGGCCCATTTTAGACCCACGGGGGTTGTCCAAAACAAGAAAAATTGAGGGGAAATCGGCCTGAACACCTGGAAGGGCAGGAGGGTCAGGGGGGACAAGAAGACGGGCAAATAAAATACTTCCAATTTGACAAGGGGACGAAGGCCGGGGTGTTCCAGAGATGGGGCAATGACACAAAGGGGGCACAAAGGGGAAGGGTTTAAGACTCAAAATGAAAACAAAGGGATTTAAAAGGGAAATATTCTTCAGTCATAAGGATTTAAAGGGCCCTGGAAAAAGCCCAGAAAGTACGTAGTGGAGGCGGGGAAACCCTACATAGTTTTTTAAAGGGGAGGAAAGATAAAGCTTTTTGGGGCAAGGGGGAAGAGGACCTTGTAGCAATCAGTGGGGGAAAAAAAAAGGGGGGCCCGGAAACTAGGGTCGACCCCTGCCCAAACCCAAAAAAGGGGTAAAATAGGTGAGTACACCCCCATATAAAGAGGTTGGGACTACTAACTTTTATTCATTCCCTTCTTTGCCCCCATAGATAACGTTTTTTTGACTCCCCATAACCCCAACGCAACCCCCACCTTTTTTTCCCTCATCAACCTATGATTAACCTCACCTTTATAAATCCCTCCGCCGACACTCAACTCCCAAGTACTGAAAACATTCACTTCTTCCATACTCCTCCCCCCTATTTGATATCCAATTTTTCTTTTTCTAAAACATTTGGGAAAACCCCATCACCTACCTTTTCTATTTCCCCTTTCAACTTTCTACCCCTTTTAAAACACATCCCAAACCATCCACTAACCTTTTGCCAAATTTTTTTTTTGAATCTCCCCTTTTTGCCCCAGTTCATTTAGAAAAAGGATTTGGGGGTCAATTTTAATTTTTGGGGATTTGGGGTTCCCCAAAAATTTAACCCCACCCCTCTCCCGAACACCCTTTGCATTTACTTCTTTTTCAACCTCATCTATAAATAAATTAAACCCAAACCCGGTGAAAATTACACATCACGTCTAAGACCTACTTTTTCCCGGGAAGTATTTTCCCTCTCTTCTACACACCCTAACCTGAGCCTCCTACCTTTATAAAAAAAACCCTTTAAAAGCATTTGGGAACTAACCACCTGGGAAATTGCTCCCCCATCCACTCTATCATATGCCCATTCTAAATCCTAAAAGCAATAAAAAAATTCCCATACCTTTACTAAATACTGTTCACAAATATCTTCAATGTTTAAAAACCCTTTATCTACACATCCCTACCCACTCTGAAACCCCTTGCTCCCCCCCCCAATTTCCCACATTCGTCCCTTTCCTTTTAATCTTTTTAATTATAACCCACAGAAAACGTTTCCCCGGTAATCAGAAACTTATTCCCTATAATTTTTACAATCTCTTTTGTCCCCCCTTTCCCCTTTAAAAAAAGTTACTATAAAATGTTCTCTCTCAATCCCAAAGGGACCTTCCCCTCCCGTCAACATTTTTTATTATTATTATTTTTTATTATTATTATTATTTTATTTATTATTATTATTTTTAAATTTTAAAAAAGTTTAAACCCGTGAGGATCATTTAATATTTACCATTAATTTTAAAGTGGCCTTTTTTAAATTTTTAAAATATTGTTAATAAACCTTGAAATATTTTATTCATTGCATGGGCAGACTTTAAAATATATCTTTCATATAAAATTTTTTTAAAAAATTTGTTCAGTAAAATTTTTTGATAACACTTTATTTATACGGCTCTTCATTATTCTTCCTGGACGGGCCCTTTTTGTTATTGGGAGTAATGAAATTTTTCCCCCACTTAAATTTGGGCACAGACCATTCACTGAAAAACTTTTAAATTTAAACTTGAAGTTTGATGACATTTTGTTACAACCAACTCATAGGCCCAAGTGTGAAGAGATCTTAGTATCTGATCAAACAGACTATTAATATTCTACTTCCTTACGAAGCCGGAGGTAATCCCTGATCAAACACAATATAACCTAAGCAATGGAGCCAGTGGAATGTTTCTAAAACTTGCTAATGTTGCTACTGTGTTGTCTGGCGGTGCTGCCTTGCTACTGACATGTAACAAATACGGGTAATAAAGTTATAAAAGAATGTCAGTTAAGGAGAAAATCAATTTCGTAATACAAATGTCGGCTTAAAAATCCATAGGCAAATATATAGCTGTTGGGATATAGAAGAGCTACTTACGTTCTTTAAGTTGAAGTGTTGGATTTTGTCTAGGTAGGTAGGAAGCTCAGTGAGAAGAGTGTAGAAGCACCAGTTGATGCCAAAGTGGACCACGATTATGGCCCATACTGGCAGGGATGTAAACACCGCCTTCCATGGTAGCGGCAACGCCTGCCACAAAAATTTGCGTACTTCTTAAACGTGCAGATTTAGAAAGGGGTGTGACAGATAAGATGAGCAATCAAGGTATTTAATACAAACATTTCCATGTTTTCTGAAAAAAAATACAAATAACGGTGTCAAATTGTAAAATTTTTCTGGTTAAAAAAATGTGACCTTTTTGTAATAACAAAAACCACTTTAACTACCATGTGTCTCTGAAAGTTCTCATAATTTTGCGATGTAAACTATGTATTTATTATTATTATTATTATTATTATTATTATTATTATTATTATTATTATTATTATTATTATTATTATTATTATTATTGTGTTTAATGTTGTTGTTCTCATTATTATTTACTGTTTTATATTAACTCACTTCATCATATATTTTGCAGTCATGAAACACATTCCGTGCTGGTGTTGTTGAGTATATAATAGGCATTATTTTATTGTATATATAGAAAATGTAATCATAGTCCTCACAAGATCTATGTATTCAGCACACACGATACCCCCGGCCACTTGAAACTAGACAGACGGAAGTTAAATTGGGAAGGCAGCATACTTTAGTATTTAGATAACCCACAATATATTACCTTCATACTTGGTTTAAAACTTCCTAAACACTCACTACTATCTCCCAAAATATATATATATATATATATATATTAATATATATATATATATATATATATATATATATATATATATATAATATATATTAAGTATATATATATATATATTTATATATATATATATATTATATATATATATATATATATATATATATATATATATATATATATTATATATATATATATATATATCACTGCTCTACACCCCTCTCTCTTCCGAGGTCCATAATTTTTGCATCCTACCATTATTTTAATCCACATAATTTTTGAATATATACATTTCTATTCATTTTTTTCCTTCCATAACTTATCATTTAAAATTACCATTATTCCTTCCTGAGCTCTAGTTCTCCTAGATATACGTGACATAATCCCATTTATTTTTCCCCCACTGAAAATGTCCTGCCACCTTCAGGGGCGGCATGAGTGAAAAAAAATAGAAAAATTATGTAAATTGAGTTAATCGTGTATAAAAATACCTTAACTCTTTTGGCAACACAATGGTACAAGAATAATTGTTGTATGATGTTCCTTCAAGGAATTATAGTCATTTATATCATGTATGGTTACACCACTGCTCATAGAATGCCTGTTCACATGAAGTAAATTTTAAGAGTTTTTCTTCTTTTTTTTTGGTATTTCTTGTATTATTCTAATATAATAAATGACGATTTGGCTATCAGAAGAGAGTGGGCAGAGCTAATACATAGTCTGGGAGCCAATCAGGAACCGTCTGGGAAAATTTGCTTGCGTCAGCAGAAATTCCTGAGTCTTGGGATTCAGGAGAAAATACTTCATTATTACGTTAATATCAACTCTCCGGCTTATTTATCTATCACAGTTGATCTAATATGACAAAATAAACAATATAAATAACATAGGAACATGATATATACTCTAGAATGAATAAAATAAGCCATAGTATGGCGAATGGTCGCAGCCACTCCCAGCATGAAATAAATATCACTCTAACCATTTCTTTCCTTTTTTGCCTTTCTGTTGTCCTGGGTAAGAGAAAACGGAATGTTTGTATGAGACTAGATCACTAGTTTCATATGGAAAACACTGAAAAAAAAAGGATTTTCTCAGAGTCAGGAGGGCGGCCTGTGTTGTGAGGGTTCGTGGAGATGTGATGGTTGGAGTTAAACACACTTGTTGGATGGTAACACATATTAGCAGAGTGTGAGAGAGGAGCCCAGACTGGCCTGTCCTGTTGCCTGGTAGGCCTACGGTGAACTGAGAAGGAGGCCGGGAGTGCAGCACTCATATGTGGCATCACGTGATGTCACACAAGCTAGTCACTGAGCCTAGCAAGGAGTCAACTATGTAAATCATATGGATGGTACTAACTATGATACTCAGATAACATATACATATACAGGGGATCAGCAACTATGCTGAAAGCTCGGTCATGTTACGTATGTCGTCTCAACATACAATACTATGCTATAGGTTGAACAGGCAGGTGAATCGGGGCTGATTCTATACAATAGCAAAGACACATGTAACTTAGAACTAATGGATGGGATTGTAATGGGTAAATCAATAAAAAATGATAAACTGGAATCATTAAATCTTGTGCAAAATTAAAATAGACTGGGAAAGCAATTCTCTCTCTCTCTCTCTCTCTCTCTATATATATATATTATATATATATATAATATATATATATATATATATATATATATATATATATATATATATAATATATAATATATATATATATATATATATTGAAAATAAAGTGACACACAAAGAATAAAATATTATGCACAGAACAAGAAATGTGAAACTGAAATCACAGAATATTGCACTGAGATAAACTGTAGCAATATTGCAAATAACAATTACTAATCAAAAAGTACTGCACAACACACTACATAAAAAAAATATTCTGAAAGAAAAAAAAATAATGGCAGCACAATACTTGCACAAGAGTCATTGCAAAATGAGGCAACACTGCAATAATAAAAAATTGCACAAACACAAGAAAATGCAGTTTACACAAGCAAAAAATATCAAGAATGAACTGAGTGAACACTTTAACTCTTGATTGTAGCTTAAGCAAACACTTACGGAACAAGCATAAGAATGATTTACTTTAAAAAGGAAGTTAAAAATTGCACTAAGAGTGAATTTGTTCAATGAGATATGAAGAAATAATAAAGGGCATAAAAATGCAAAACAGAGAAAGGTTAACAATTACAATAAGGCAGGAACAAAGCACAACAATACAGTGGACCCCCGCATAGCGAACTTAATCCGTGCAAGAGGGCTGGTCGTTATGCGAAATGTTCGCTATGCGAATTAATTTTCCCCATAAGAAATAATGGAAATAAAATTAATCCGTGCAAGACACCCAAAAGTATGAAAAAAAATTTTTTTTACCACAAAAAAATGTTAATTTTAGTACACACAAACTGAAAAAAGGCATGCACAATTACATGACACTTACTTTTATTGAAGATCTGGTGATGATTGATGGATGGGAGGAGGGGAGAGAGAGTGTTAGTGTTTTTGAAGGGGAATCCCCTTCCATTAGGACTTGAGGTAGCAAGTCCTTTTTGCGGGGTTACTTCCCTTCTTCTTTTAATGCCACTAGGACCAGCTTCAGAGTCACTGGACCTCTGTCGCACAACAAATCTGTCCATAGAGCTCTGTAACCTCCCGTTCCTTTACGATTTGTCTAAAATGGGCCATAACATTGTCATTGAAATGTCACCAGCACGGCTTGCAACAGCTGTGTCAGGGTGATTTTCATCCATAAAGGTTTGCAGTTCAATCCACTGTGCACACATTTCCTTAATTTTTGAAGTAGGCACAATGGATTCCACAACTGGCATAGGCTTCTCAGGGTTAGCCCCAAACCCTTCAAAATCTTTCTTAATTTCCATACTAATTCTCACCCTTTTTACCACAGGTTGGGACTAGAAGCTTTCTTGGGGCCCATGGTCACTTATTTTCCAGAAACAGCACACCGAAAACACTGTAATTTAAAACGAAATATTCCAGTGTATGCTTGAATGTTCCGGGAGGCTGGCTGGTAACAATGGC